AAAAGGGGACTCCCACCCCAGGACTCTGAACTGGTAGTAAGTTGCCTGCTTCCTATGAGGGGAAAGTGTGAGATGAAAATGGGAAGTCCCAGCACTGCCCTGCCCCAACTTTGTACCATGGATCCTAAAGGCCTGGTTTGCCTGTTGAGAAGAAGAGATGTTTCTCCCTTTCCTAACCACAAATAATTGTCACAGGCCAAAGTTAGGGAGTGAGAATAAGCACCCCTGTACTTTTATACACAGCAGTCCTCTAGTTGGCTGAGTGGGTCCCAGGGCTTCAGACTGCTGGGCTAGAATTTCAGGATCATCAGGATACTTCTGTTCATCCTCCTATCTGGAAAAAAATAAGGTGCCAGTTCCCCACCAACCATTGCAACAGTGGTTTTATGACCCCTAGGGGAGCCTGACACTGGTGTACACTCAGACAACTACTGCAGCCCAGTATTTTAGCACAAGATTGTGGAGTCAAAAATTTCCCAGGAGATGCCCTTGGATTTCTCCTATCAAGTTTGGCAGTCCCAGCCCAAGTTGGAAATAAGGAAAACTTACTCAAGGATCCCACAGAGGAATGGATCCCCTACATAGCCCTGCTGGCTCTCTCACTCATTACCCTCCACTAGGAGCCCCACATCATTCCTCCCTCCTCTCAGCCATTGCATATGCTGTATCTTCAGCCTGAAATGCTACTTCTTGGCCCCCACCTCTAGAGCAGATGCTCTGGAGCAGGGTAACAGCAGCACTATGATGCTCCTGCAGGTTGGTAGCGCAGAGGTTTCTGCACTCACCTGCCACTAAGCAGAGTTTTAGGGTTTAAAATTTTTAAGTATTTATCAGTCACTTCCTGTGTGCTTTACCCAAAAAAGGCAAGATTCTCTGGGAATTCAGACTTCACATCCCTGAGCCTGAAGTGGTAGGGAGTTGGAAACAAGTAGTCTTTCTTGCAAAAAACAGCCACATGCAACTTCGGGGCTATACCTCCAAGCCCAAAGCCCAACAAATCTTCCAGTATGTGCTATAAAGTTCTCACACCATAAAAATCACAGCAATTTTGTAACAGGAAGGGTACATAGATTATCAATCCAGCAATCTTACTACAATGAAATATTAAGGAAGTACAAGAGACACATAACAACGTCCTCACTGTCACACAATTAATTTATGACCAAGTCAGGATTATAATTAGGGTTGTTACTCAAAAGTAAGCTACTTTTTTCTAAGTTAACTTCAAATCATTCATCAGAATTAATAACATTGCAACCATCTGTTGATTTGTAGAAATGATTTTCAGAAATTATTGGGATGATTATTTGTTTGATTTGGATGTCACTAGCTAAATGGTATTTCTGATCCATGATTTGGATATAAGAAACTGCCTCAAATTCTTCCAGTAACTTCCCCCACTGGATGAATGATGATTAGGTTCCAGTTCCTGGTGCACCGTTGCAGCTGGAAGATAGGTGAGAACACTGCCCACAATTCAGGACTATGTATATACAATTTCATGTCAGCATTTCCCACAAAGTCTTGCATAGCCTACGCTGCAGGCCCCATTGACAATGCTGCCTTTAACACCGTACTGGAAATGCCACTAGCACCACGTGCCTCACACTGCCTACTTTGCCAAAACTCAGATGCTTTAGAACAGTGAGCCAAGAGCTCTGCTGCCTTCGTGCCTCGGCCAACTATCTCTGTCATACCACCAATACTCTGCAGCCTCCCTGGATGACACCAGTGAGACATTTATGATTTAAAATAGTAGAGAATTTTTAAAATATAAACAAGATTATTTATCCTCTCTTGGTATCTGCTGAGATCCCAAGATGGATATTTCATATCATATCATATTCAATGTTTCTGCTATCAACTAAATCATGCTAATACTGAAGGCTTATTGACCAATAGTCACTGTAAAATCTTCAACAATGACTTCTATAATTATTATTTTATTTTTATTTTGTGAGTTTATTCTTAGCTCAGTAACTATTAACCAACCAATATTTATGTGCAATAACTAAAATGTTTTGATAATTTAATAATTGGTTGCATATTGGGTTGCTTATAACCCAGGTCTCACCAATAAGTTCTATTTGTTATATCATGTGACCGCCTATGGGAAAAGGCCTAACTGGCCAGAATTTACTCAGTCTTTCCAGTACTTCAGTTACCTTTCAATACTTTCGGTTATAGTCAGTCTTTCAGTTGACACCAGTAAGGACTCCTGAAGAGTCATCCTTAAATCAACATGCATTTATTATATGTGTGACTTTATGCACTCCAGCAGTGTGCAAGCTATAACATTCCATGAGCCTCAGGATTCATGACTTGAATGCTTCATCACTGATAATGAATGAAAATTTTCTCATCTCATTAAACACTCGTCTCTGGTTTGACTTGGTAAAATGAAAGAAATGGCAGAGGGAAGGATTAGTCCTTCAACATGTCCTGTTTTCCTATAAAGGTCTTTGCAAATAGAGATGTCTGTTTCTTTTTCCCTGTCAGAAAGAGCCAACAGAAATACCTGACACCAGAAATAGAAAAAAAAAAAAAAGTAAGATGACTATTTGCTGTCTTCAAACAGTCCATTTCCTGTTCCAGGACCACAGTGTGGACTCTAATACAGAGGATTGTCTCTGGTTAGTCATTTAAATGTCCTCATGGTATACTTGATCTCCGTGGTATGCTTACCATCAAACATCCACCACTCATGCACTCACAGCACTCTTCCTTGAACTCAGAGCATGAAGAATGTAGTAGGAGAACAACGAAACATCAACAATTGATTGAGAGGAATACAGAGCAGAGAAAAGGAAAAATGGTACGAAGTTAGGATCGAGATGCAACAGCTGAGCTAATTGTAAGTAACCAGGCACTGGGCTTCTTCAACCAGTAATTCTTTGATTTTAAGGAGTTTTGATCATGTTTCCTAATGAAGGTATAAAAGAAAAACCCATGTACATGGAACTTTTGTGGAAGGAGGAGAGCAAACATTTCACAAATGAACCCTTATACTTTATGAGACAAAATTAAAGCACCTCAGAATCAAATATAGCATGGAACAACTGGAACTCATATACTGCTATGGGATGGTAAAATGGTAAACCCTTCAAACAATTTTTGGTATTATGCAAGAATAGTACATCATATCACATGAAAGTTCCACTTCTAAGTGTATACTCAAAGAACAAGTACTTATCTCTGCAAAAAGTTTTATACAATAATAATTATAGAGCTTTGTTCATAATGGGCCTGACTGAAAGTATCAAATTCCCATCTACAGTAGATTGGCTAAATAAAATATTCAAACAAAGTAATATACAACAATGAAAATGAATAGTTGACAACTGCATGCAACAGTAGGGTGAATCTCATAAACAAAATGTTGAGTAGAAAGTAGTACAAAGTATTTATCATCATCTAATTCCGTGTATATAAGTACAAAATGAGTAAAACTCATCTATGTTGCTGGAAAGCGGGATATATGGCTACCTTTGGGGGGTGGTGAAAGAAGTTACTGGAAGGGAGCATGAAGAGAGCTTCTGAAAATGCTGGTATAGTTCTGTTTCTTGTTTAGGTACTGTTTAGATGTATTCAGTTTATAAAATTCATAAAATTCAACACTTAAGCTGTGTATACTTTTCCATGTTCTGTTTGTGGCAAAATGAAAAAAAAATAGCTCAGTCGTCTCCAATACCTGCCTCCCAAATGCTACCATCTAATTTTTGTGCTCTCCACTCTGACTCTGGGCTTGGCCATGAATTACTTTGGCCAATGAGACATAAACATGATTTCAGCAGTGACTTGAAAAATGTTTGAATATTCTGGCTTCTGGTCTTGTTCCTGTGCAATTTCCAGGAAAACATACCCAGGCTAGTCTGCAGGAGGATAGAGCAGAGCACCTTAAAGTTGCCCCATTCATCTGTGCCATGGCCATCCTAGATGAGCCAATAGCCAGTTGACTCTCGTTATGCTTGATGAATCAACACACAGAACAGAGAACAGTCCAAGCAGGTCCCAGCTAGACAATAATCTTCCATTTAAAGACAATTATGAGCTTTGGATAGGTTGTTAAGCAGCATTATTGTGTAACAAATAATACAATTATTTACTTCCATTTAAACTTTAAAAGTGCATGCAATACAACATAATCCCACAAAATTAGGCTCAAAAGATTCTCCTAACCTATTTATTTTGAGCATAGCTACACCTAGAGGAAAGAAAATCTTCAAGGGGCCTTTGAAAACAGTATGCTGAGAGTAGATAGGGCTCAAGGACAGTATCTCAACTGAACTTTTAATGAACTCCGTGGCGCCAAGAAGGCGGGTAGATAGAAAGAATATAGAAACAAGGTACTGAGTAGAAGGTTACATGTGGGAAAAGAAAGTTTGTTTTGCATTGCATTCTTTCTGCTGACACACAGGAGTTTATGGAGTATAAATAAAGTGAGGCAGAAGCTCTGAGTGCGGCCGCCATGTTCTCTGTGTGTCTTTGTGTGTGTTCTTTCATTCTCCACCACCCCCGGTGCGGTCCCCAACAAGAATCTGCCTGAGATCCCACAGGACCAGGATCCCAAAAGCATAACAGGACATCCAAGTAAAATCAAAAGCCTAAGACAGCAGAAACAACTCATAAACCAACCTGAAGAGGATTCTCTAAGACAATAAAATTCTGTCCTGTTTTCTCAAATTTGCAGAAGCAAATGGTTGCTTCTGCCACCTCCCCATTTTTAAATGCCCTCTTACTGCACCCTACTCTATATGAAAAATCTTTACAATATTCAACAGGTTGTATTAAAATACATATATATATATGTGTGTACATACTGCTCCTGATGTGTGTATGTAAATATCATATATAAAATATTAATTTTTGTTCTATTTCACCATGGAGAAAGAACTTTTATGCACGACCCTCTTGGCAGCTTTTAGACCCACCATTGAACATTGATGGGTTTTAACATTCTGCCGGTCTTCTAGCATATAACTGAGTAATAGCCATGTTACCTGGATTAACCTGAGCTTTTGCAGAACTCAAGATAGGCGGGAACAGCACCAGAGCATTCTGGGAGTCAGGATCATCTCAGAAGACGGTGTTGGAACTGGAGTCTTCCCGCCAACCAATAATGCAGAAAACAGAAAGGAAGCAGGGGAAATAGGTGGGGCAGATACTTCCATATGAATGAATACACTTCTCGGTTAATTTTTGTATTTCTGCAGTGTTTATTTTTTATATATAGGACTTCAAATCTGAGCTTTGGGAGTTGAATGGCACATCCAATAATCACCTAATACAATAATTTTCAAACTCTATCAGATTGCACACTCATGAAATTTAGAGATTAGCAAACTAATTCAGACAACAAAGTTTTCTAAGATAATGCTTACCCAAATAGTGAATAATGGCAAAGTAAAACTTATATTTATCATGTAAACTGATGTTTTCAAAATCTTAATACTGATTCCAATATTCAACCAAGAGAAACATTCAATACTTTTAATGTTTGCCTTTCAAAACATATCGTTGATATTTATCGATTCATTATGTCTGGAGTGATACTAGGATTCTGTATTTTCAGGTTTCCCCAGAATGATTCATATGATAATAGATTAGATTTGGAGACATCAGTATGAAGTCACATTTAGCTTAATAAGGATACAAATAGTTACATATGGAAATATTTGTAGACATGTCATATATCACCTGGGTTAGTATACACATATGTTCCATCTGCTGAGAGGGCCTAGGGCAATGACATCCCAGTAACGTGAGAAAACCTAGTGCTCAGATCTTGATTTCTAATAACCATTCTTCAATAAAAGGAGACAGGATTCCTCAGGAAAAATATAATACAGTTCTAGAATAAGAGCAGATAATACACAAGATAGACTTGGAGTATCTTTTAGTAGAAATTGAAACGTACGTATTACAAAGAAATTATGGGGATGTCAAAAGGGACACAGTAGCCCATAATGAGTTCCCCCTCCAAAAAGTAGTATTGAATTATAAACCAAAGAATAAAATAAATATCCATGAGTCCATGCTGCTATAAATTAATGATTGAATAAACAAATGGGGAGAATAGGCATATTTCCAATGCAAAAGAATTCCAAATAATTTATGTAGATAATCTACTCTTAAGGAAATGAAGCATTACTATCTCCCTTCCCCAGCTCCTTAAGAGTTAGTTGCATGTAGTTACTTTGTCCCAAGAAGTACAGTGTAAAAATGGAGAAAGAAAAGTGTCACTTTTAGGTGGAGAAATCTGACAAACACTTCCTCAAGACAGGGTGATCAGGTTAACATAACACTGATAAGTCATGTTGATGGTATATGTACTTGATATTATGTGATGAAAATGACACTTTACCTCTGTGATCTTCCACCCAAAAACCTATTACCTCAGTCTACTTATGAAAAAATCATAGACAAATCTCAGGTGAAATGCTATAAAGTTTCTGTTGAGTAATGCTCAAAACTGTCAAGGTAACTAAAAACAAGGAAGTCTGAGAAACTGTCACAGGTAAAAGAGCCTAAGAAGACATGATGACTAAGTGCAATGTTATATCCAGACAGAGGACATTAGGGGAAACTGAGGAAATCAGAATAAAGAATGGACTTTAGCTAATAATAATGTGTCCCTTATCAGTTCATTCATTTTGACAAATGTACTATGTTAACATAAGATGATAATAATAGGGGAAACTGGATGTGGGATATACAAGGATTTCCTGTACTAGCTTCACAATGATTATGTATTCTTAATCACATTGATTATGTAAATATAAAACTGTTCTAGAAGGCCAGGCACATTGGCTCACGCCTGCCGTCCCAGAACTTTGGAAGGCCGAGCGGGCGGATCACCGGAGGTCAGGAGTTCGAGACCAGCCTGGCCATCATGGTGAAACCCCGTCTCTGTTAAATACCTTGCTCGGGAAGGGAACATCACACCACGGGGCCTATCATGGGGAGGGGCGGAGGGAGGGATTGCGGTAGGAGATATACCTGATGTAAATGACGAGTTGATGGGTGCTGGCGAGTTGATGGGTGCAGCACAGCAACATAGCACCATGTCATAATATAACAAACCTGCACGTTATGCACATGTACCCTAGAACTTAAAGTATAATAATAATAATAATAATAAAAATACAAAAAATAGCCAGGCATGGTGGTGAGTGCCTGTAATCCCAGTTACTTGGGAGGTTAAGGCATGAGAACCACTTGAACCCAGGAGGTGGAGGTTGCAGTGAGCCGCCACTGCACTCCAGCCTGGGTGACAGAGCAAGACAAAAAAACAAAACAAAAACAAAACAAACAAAAAAAACTGTTCTAGAATACAAAGTTGATTTTTGATTTTAAAAAAATTACTCTAGGTAACACTAATAATCAAGCAAGCATTGGATGCAATGTTAGAAATGATATGTGACACAATATTATAAAGAAGAAAAATTCTCTTGGCTGAGTGATTAGGAAGGCTTCATGGAAAAAAAATATCTGATCAGGTTCTTGAAGGATGGATAAGACTTTAATAGGCAACTAACAGAAATTGGAAGTAAATAAGAGGATGACATGAGTAAGGTACTTTCTTTTCAGGGAAACAGAAGCTTTCTAAGACAATTTCTAAGCAGTATAATACTGACATACCCAGAGGGACTAAAAAAAAAAAAGCAATATAGTCAGATGGTTTTGACTGAAGAGGATGGATCCAAACAAATAAAACACAGATTTAAACCCATAGTGAGGGCTGAGGGTGTATGATCACAACTACAAAGGGTGATGAGCATAGTTTCATAGGATTGATTTGGTTAAGATAAAATACATGTCTCAGTGTTCCTAGCTACTTCCAGCAGCAAGAACACTATTTCCATAAATAAGTCCCTAAAGAAACATGTCCAGAGAAAGAAACACACAGGTGAATCCTGGAGACATTGGTCTTGGCTATAGTTGAGCACTAACTCATGACCATAATCCAGGATGTCCTTCCAAGCGACCCTGAGCTCTTTGTGAGCAAGCCATTCAGTAAGCACTGAGGCCCAGGACTGCCTGGCTCACCTCCTCTCCTAGCAGCCTTTTGCAGAGTCCTAAATTCTCTCTCTCCTGTGGCACCTCTCTCATGGGTTACTGGCCATAACTTCCTCCCCTCCCCAATAATTCCCTCTGCAAAGAATATCTCCCACACCTCCATTTCCTTTCTTACCTTCACCAAAACACATACTTAATTTAACTCTATTGGATCCTACACAACATTGTTATAAAATTATCCATTTTATCATTAACTTCAAAATGGCTCATTCTTGTATTGCCAAAGTATTACTTTATATCATGCACAAAGTATGTGCTCAAAAATGGTTTTTAACTGAACTAAGTCAAACTTACTAAGTGTTTAAAAAATGGTAACTAATTTACTTTTTGAAACTGTTGCTGGGCTTCACCTCACGAATCTCCAAAAGCAGTAATTATTTTTTCTGTTTTGCTTAAAATTAGATGACTGTCAGCTAACAAACAGAGCACTGTACAGCACCTAGAAGTATTATACCTATACCATGTGTATCTACTGCGAATCAGAGATGTCTCTTACAATATTCACAGTAACTCAATGAGTTTTGTTTTCCAACAACAGGAGCTAAGGAGAAAAAGTTAAAGCTGATCAGGTTACACCTGATAGCGACCAAGCTCATATGTGAACCCAAGGCTGGTATTACTTCCAAAATCCACATGAGTTTTGTTGTTGTTGTTGCTCCTTCTTTTGTTTTTGCTCATCCTTCGCACTATATCATCCTTCGATCTGGGCTCCACCTACTTCACCAGGCACCCTTCTCCTCATCTTTCCACCTCAGTCACACTGGGGCTTCTTTTCTTTTTTCTTCCATTTTCTTTTGCCTAAGGACCTCTGCCAAAGACTTTCTCTCCTCTCTTTGCCTAGTTCAGATCTCCACTAAATGGTCACTTTCTCAGTGAAATATTCTCTGATCCCCTTGATTGTTACATGCTCTAAAAACATGTTTCTATATAGAAATGATCATAGTTTCTCACTATATATTCATTGCTGTGATTGTTTAATTTGTATTACCCCCAACACACTTACAAAGCTCCATGTTCATTTTATTACTATTGTAGTCTCAACACTACCAGAGTGCCTGGTAAGTATTTGCAGAATGAATTAATGATTGTCTCGAGCCATATATTCAGTGACTACATCTGGTCGACTTTTAAATTCCATGATAGCAAGGAAGTATCTCCAAAAGCTTATTGTGAGCAGAAAAACCCTTTTCTGCACCTTTGAAGGAGTCTTTCCAAGGGTTCAATATTTACTTAATGTGACATGTGAACAGAACTCAAAGAAGCATGTCAAGGACTTCTGAAAAAGCCCTTCTCTACCCACTTCTTTAGTTAGTAGTAGAAATCCCTTTGTAATTTATTTAAACCTTAAGAAATAAAACTCAAAATGCACAAACACCACTAGTCAAGCCACTGGCCTTCATTCATTCATTCAGCAACTATTTGCTAAATAGCTATTAGGTGCTAGCCCAGGTGATAAGCACATCAGTAAAGGCAAAGAAGGTTCCTGCCAACATGGAACTTATAGTACATAAGCAAACAAGTAAATGAAGAAGAATTTGAAACTGTATCTGCATGGAGAAGATAAAGTACATTAATGTAATAAGGGAATGAGAGCTATTCTAGGTAAGGTGGCCAGCAAAGGCCTCCCTGAGTATATAGTGGTATATAAATAGATAAGCAGAACATTGAAGAGAGATGAACAACTTGAAAAAGACTAAGCAGAACATTGAAGAGAATGAACAACCCAGAAAAGACTCATGAATAAATGGAAATGTACCACCTGAGAAAGGGAGCATTTAAACGTGGTGAAGAAGTTTCAGATGCTTTAGTAGTCGACATAGGCATGGGCAAGGACTTCATGTCCAAAAGCAACGGCAACAAAAGCCAAAATTGACAAATGGGATCTAATTAAACTAAAGTGCTTCTGCACAGCAAAAGAAACTACTATCAGAGTGAACAGGCAACCTACAGAATGGGAGAAAATTTTTGCAATCTACTCATCTGACAAAGGGCTAATATCCAGAACCTACAAAGAACTCAATCA